TCTGCCCTGTGATTTGCTTCCGTGATGGGGAAAGACATGTTCTTCCTGTGCCTGGGCACAAAGAGCACATTGAGACTGGCCCTGGGAATGGCCTTAGGGCACTAGCGTCTCACACTGCAGGAAATGGAGGAATTCAGGGAGGAATTTCATGTCCAATATTTTATCTGCCGTCCCGTCCCAGAGATTGCTTAATCTAAACAATACTGTTTATTTATTTATTTATTTATAGGACTAGAGATAGAATCCAGGGCTTCAATCATGCTAGACTAACCTACCATTGAGCCATACCCATATCCTGATACTTGATTTTTTTTTCTCAAGAAAAAGATTATCTAGCTCATTGATTAATTAATAACTGAGCATTTTTTATTGGACAAGAACAAAATCACTAGCTATATTCTTATTTATTTTTTGTTTTGTCTTGTTTTGGTTTTGGTTTTATGAGACAGGGTTTTGTCTGTGTGTATCCCTGGTTGTTTGGGAACTTGTTCTGTAGACCAGGCTGGACTCGAACTTGCAGAGATCCACCTGCCTCTCCCTTGTAAGTACTGGAATGAAAGGCATGCGCCATCACCATCTGGCCCCCATTATATATTTTTAATGTTTGTGCTTATATGTATGAATGTGGTAAATGTGTATTGTGTGGTACATGTGCACATTTATGTGCAGACGCATGTGCCTGTGTATGTGCAGAGGCCAGAGGAGATCATAAGGTGTCCTGCTCTTTTAATTTCTGCCTGTTCCCTTGGGACAGGGTCACTTTCTGAATTCCCCTACCTATCCCAATTCCATAGGCCTGGTCACAGGCATGCATGCAGCCGTGTCTGGCTTTTTGCATGGTTTGGGGGTTCAAACTCATGCTTGCACAGTAAGCGCTTCAATCAGAGCACTTGCACCACCTCCCCAGCCCCTGTTTGCATTAGCACTTTTGAGAGTTCTCAGACTTGTAGAACAAATAGTTATGTGAATCGTGAAAGTCTAACATTTAGACTACCCTTCATAGCTTCATAGCTTCATAGCTTTTTTCTCTTCCATGTCTTAAGACCTAGCACATCTTCTATAAATATGCCAAATTGTCTGCTTTGATGGCTAATTGGAGTAAAGGGAGAATAAATGGAAAATTTACAAAAATGGAAGTAGTTATTTAAGATCTCCAGGTGATTACCACCTTGGCAATGTGCTAATAAAGGAAGCTGTGGGCTTGACCTTAGAAATGACTCTTGGTGACTGGGGTAGCAGGGGAGAGCCAGGGTCCCATCTGGCCAGGATGTGTCCTGGTTGACAGTGTGAGGGCCCCCTCCCAAGGTGGTTAGGGACCCCCCCAATCCAGTCACAGGCCTGCTACCTGCACTTCATCTCCCTAGTGATGGAACCTAGCACTATGTGATCCTGAGACTGGGGTTTCTTTTGCCTTGAAGGCAATGGTGGCATCTGTGATCTGTCTGTCAGGGTGTATTAATACATGTTAGGGATTTTAGCATAAACTACGTTGAGGCTCCCTACTCAATGCAGTAGCAGCCATGGTACACTAGTGGAGGGGGAGGTGATGAGGGTGGAGGGAAGGTAGCTCCCCTCTCAAGTGATTCCACCCTTCATCCCCACCTCCAAGAGGAACACCTGCTTGGGAAGAGAATTCAAGCCTTCAACGTTCTGTCTCCAGTCTCCAAATCCAGGGTTTGAAGACTGAGTAGAGCAGTGGTGGTTCTCAACCTGTGGGTTGTGACTCCTTTGGAGGGTGGGTAGAATACCCCTTTCACAGGGGTTGCATATCAGATAGCCTACATATCACATATCTACATTGTGATTCATAACAATAGCAAAATTACAGTTATGAAGTAGCAGCAAAATAATTTTATGGCTGGGGGTCACCACAGCATAAGGAACTGTATTAAAGGGTCACAGCATGAGGAAGGTTGAGAACCACTGGAAGAGAAACAGAGAGGGGAGAGGGCTTCAATAACTGGCACAGGTAGGAGGAGCTGGTTCTGAAGTTCTTGTTTGTGTTTGAGGATCTTACTGTGCAGCCCAGACTGGTCTTGAATTTGTGATTCTCCTGCTTCAACCTCTCGAATACTGAGGTCACAAGCATGATCCTCCAGGCCCCTGGCCCAGTTCTGGTATTCTCCACACGGTAAGGTGGCTGTGGGCTGTAGCACTTTATGATTTATTGCAAAAAGTAACTAGAGAAGACGGGTTCAAAGGCTTCCTGCAGATGGAAATGATAAATATCCGAGGAGGTGGAGATGTTGATTGCCTTGATTTAATGGTTGCATACTTTATGCAAGTACCAAGCTATTATACTAAGTCAACAGGTGGACAATATTTTGCATTGATTAGAAAAAAATGCCAAAAAAGAAAGAAAAATGGAAGAACTGAAATAGAAAACAGAGCAAAAACAACCCCCTACGCAAGAACAAAATCAGGGCTTCTGACACTCCTTCTGTGATTAGGCCTGGCCTGCTCTAAAATCTGGGACTGTCATTAAGCGCAAATCTTCATTTGTTCCTTTTAATTCATGCCCTTGCATGGCTTTGTTCAGTAGTTCCCACCAAGGATGCTACCGGGGACTTTAACAACAGGAGCAAATGAGACATCCAGAGTGAAAACCCTTTTAGACCATAACTCCAACCATTGTTTCACCTGCTTCTTGGTGCCCCTGGGGCCCATGTTCACGCTCAACTTTTCTCGCATCTGGTTTTGTTTAGAGACAGGATCTTAGTATACTGCCCAGGATGGCCCTGAACACCTGAGTTGAAGCAGTCCTCTTGTCTCAAGACTCCGAAGTAGCTGGGTCTACACGCTGCGCCACTATGTCTGGCCCATAACGTCATGTTCCATAATTTGTCAGATCCGTTATGGAGAGGAAAGAGAGACAGGTCTTATTATTAGTTCTAGAGGGTAGGCTTGGGAGGTTGTCACCCAGTGTAAAATGTCTAGGATGCAGCCCCTCCTCCTGTCTGGTGGTGGCAGGCCATACCTGGACTCTCCAGTCTCAAGTGCTTCGGCTCTTAGCGTGGTGTTTCAGTGCATCTGTTAGGGCTCATTGAAAGATGCAGCTCTTTCTATGCAATGACAAAGTGTAAAAACACAGCCAGTGGGAACATCTGCAGGCGAGAACACTGGTTGGCGACATCCAGAGATGAATTCCGAGTGAGGCCACCTGTGAGCTGTGGCCATCCGCCTGGGTGAAGGTTAGCCTGCAGGTGACAACAAAGCTTCTCCTTGGGAAAGGTTGTCCCTCAACTCTGTTGCTTTAAAATGAAACAGAGCGTCTCTTTACAAATCCCCGGTTAGACAGGTTGGTATACCCGAGCCACCCAACTTGGCAAGTGCAGGAAGACCAGTCTGTGGGCACCATCCTTACTTTGCTTTTTTAGTGTTGGGAGATATGGGTATGAGCCCATAGCTTTTCAGCTAGGAACCTCGTTCTTTCTATTAATATGCAAAAGCAATACCACCCAAGACCTCACTCTTGGCCCCGCTCCTGTTCCCCTGCGAGGCTTAGAAGGCTAGCTAGAAATTGAACTTTCCGTGGGCTGAGGAGAAATTCTTGTCATGCATTTCACAAATTAATGATGAGTCTGGTGACGTATTTTGCTTCCAGATGCCTTCTGCTTTTATCATTTAGGGTTTAAAAGTGGCTTCTGTATTTTTGACAAACTCAGACTTGTTTGTTTGTTTGCATAAGAGGATAAGTCAATCACTCCTTGTTCATTATATAGATTTGGGAAGTGCCAGGGAAGGAAGGAAAATGAATATCACATGGCACCCACCATTAACATTTTAGTTTTTGCTTGCTCATTTTCTTGTTCGTTTCCCAGAAAGGCCTTGTTCACAGGACCCAGCTGTGTGTAAGGATTTACAGCTATGTCTCTACATTACGGGGTCTCCCTAGATTGGATTTTCAAGGCTGATTCCTTTTTAACATTGACAGTTCTCTCTACCCTTGGGATGTTGGTGCCTTCCCAGGTTCTCAAGATCATAGAACATGCTGAGCAACACTACTGTTTACAAAACCCGCCCCAGGGATGCAGCATGTTCACACTGTTTACAGCTCCTGAGTGGTGATAGGTGACCTCCAGGGTGGCTCAGCACATGCCTGGTGTTTTCAGTGTGAACAGTGTAGCAGAGCCCTTTCGGTATAAGCCACTGCTAAGGTGGAAAGAAGACGTATCAAATTGCTTTTTCCACTTGGACTCCAAGGGTGCGCTCCGTTCATCTCCACCTGCTATGCTAGCCAGAGTCAATGCTGCATGCAGAGACCTTTTCAGCCTTCATGCAGCAGCCTTCAGCCCTCCGAGGTGGGCTCTGTAAGTGAAGGTGTTTGTCTAAGTAAGATATGGAGGAACAGTTTACCTAAAAGGTCAGCAGAGGGGTCCCACACATCCACTAATTACCCTTCCTTGTTTTGAGGAAAGAGCACACTAACAACCTAGGTGTGTGTTATGATCTTGCTATACCTTTCTGATGCTTCTCTGCCTGCTGATGTTTGTGGCCCCTTCTAGACTCTTAGCACACTTGCTAGGATGCTTATCTCACGAGCGAGAATCCTGGCCTCGACCAAGCCTGTTTCCTTGGTTCCAGATGTCATTTGGGAAGTGGAGATACTTATCATGCATGTCTGTGTCATCACCCAAAAGAGCCCCCCTCTCCCTTATTTCTGGGTGCAGGCGTCTCTCCCTGACTGCTCTGTGTGGCTCTCCATGTTCTATTAGGAATAGGTTTCTGGTTTCTGATGTTCAGCCTCAGGTAGCTCCTTGACTGTGAAGACAAGCACGGTAGAGGTTCATTTGATGCCTGACCCCTCAAACTCTTTCTCCAGCTCCCTACTAGTGTCACCAGCGACTGGGAACAAGGCCACCCCATGTAACCATGGAGCGCTGCTTGCTTGGGGCTCATCCAAGGCCGCTTGAGACTGACTGTTCTCTTGGGACCTTTCCTATTACGGTTTCATAAGTCAATAACCCAAGAACTGCACAAATGTCTCCGTCATTTTCTAGAAAAGAAGCCCAGGAAGGACAAGCCGTCACGGGACTGGAGGGAGCGGAGGAATGCCATCAGGCTCACCAACGAGCACACGGTGGAGACCCTGGTGGTGGCTGATGCCAACATGGTGCAGTATCACGGGGCAGAGGCTGCGCAGAGGTTCATCCTCACTGTCATGAACATGGTGAGTCCAGAGAGGGTCCTGCCATTGGTGGGTTCAGATTTCCCTGTGAGCGAAGCTCTGGAGGCAGGGGTGGCGCCCTTATCCCCAGGCAAGGAGGCAGCTAGCTGGGGATCACAGCCTGTGACCTTGAGAGCAGATGCAGTGAGTGGGAAAAAAATCTGATTCTGAATTCTCCAGGCCGTGATGTTTAGATGCACAGGTTTGCTCAGTGATGGGACTGCTCATAACCACAGTTTCAGGATCCTTGGCACGTGGAAGACCTATCCCAAGTGATGGTCACCTTGAAGGGTGAATCAGCCCTGGTCTCCTAATGGTGAGACTACTTGGAAAAATTGGGGTCAGACCTTAGTTGGAAAATAGCTTACCGTATGCCTAAAGAACTTGTAGGAACTATGAGAGACCATCTATTGAGGAGTGGATATGAAGCCACTGCCTTTCCCCCTATCTTCACCCAATTTGTTGAGTGGAGATAGGGGGAAACCTTTGAACAGTGGGTGGGTTAGGGAGAGGCGACCTCCTCACCCATTAGACAGCACAGACTCTTCAAAGGCATCCACGCTCCACCCAGCCACCTGTTTTCCCAGCAAGTTCTTTTGAAGGCCTTCAAAAACCTTCAACATTGTGTTCTGGGCTGGGGCTACAAACACAACAAACAATCTGGTCCTTCCCTTGGGAAGCTCTGGTCCCAGCAGGCAGAGCATCCTTTCCACCGTAGAGACATCTGCACGGACCCCTGCTGTGCAGGTGGAGGGCCACTGCTAGTGATGAGCCTTCGGCCCGAGGTTCCACAAAGGAGCAAACCTTGATTTGAGAAGAGGGAAGTGCTGGTGGGGTGAGAGTGGGTGCAAAGGTCACTGTGGGTGCAGCAGGTGCAAGGCTTGGAGGTGGGTGCATTGGGTCCCTTCAGAGGGAGATCAGGTGGTACAGCTGTAGCAGGGACTGCAGGATCCTCGAAGGAGTGTGGACGGATGTAGACAGTGGAGACTAGAAGAGGTGAGCAAGGGGTTCTGAGGGGTAGGGTCTGAGGCCACCCAAGTGTAGGAGAGCCTCGTGTTCAACTCAGTGTTTGGAGAAGGCGCCAGAGCAGCTGCATGCTGGGTGGGTTGACATGAGAACTGGCGAGTAGATGGTGTGCGTGTGGGAAGAAGGTTTGAACTGATGGGCAGGTCAAGTGGGTGGAAGAACTCCACGTGCCAGGTTGGAAAAAACTGACAGGATTCTGTCAGGTGTAGAAAACCCCAGCTTACCTGGTCTTACGTGGGTGCCTGGACAGATGGTGGACCCTCTGGCCAAGAAAAAGAGAAACCTTTGGATTCTCAGAGGAGTTTCTCAGTAGACAAGCTGAGCTTAAGGTGAGAGATTGGGCTAGAAGGCTTGGCTCGAAAAGGAACTTGAGGCTTTTCTCCCCCAGCACTGGTACCTGAAGCCTTAAGAGTGACCAGCGTTGTCTAGATGCAACATGTCCTGTGAGTAGACAGTTTTGGGGTACAGTAATCCTAGGGGATAGGCAGAAGAACCTAGGAGGAGGTTGTCCATAAGTAAGGGGTGATGGGAGCAGAAAGCTGGTTAGCAAGGCTAGATTTAGGTATAACAGCAGGTTTAGGGTACAGTACAGCAGAATGAGACCAAGATTGTTATTTGGGGCCACAAGATTTACTAAACACTAATGAGAGTAGACCACTCTAAGGCATTTGGGGCTGGGGATGGGTTGATGGCATACCTACTTCCCCAGAATCTGTGTGGCCTCAGGGCCTGCTATATTCAAGGACTCTTGGGCTAGGGCTTGCCCAGATCCTAGAATGCAGCAGCTCTTGTTTGCCTGAGGGAATGGAGCCTAGATGAGGAGAAAGCTAGCTATGCTGGGAAGGCTAGGTTAGTGGCTTCCCACTTATATTTTGGAGGATAGTGGTTGGGGTGTGTGTCATGGTCCTCATGAGTGATAAAGTGTGTGGGTGACTCTTTGTTCACATTTAGTTATCATGGAAGAGGATGCTTTGGGCTCTAGAGGTGACCTGGGAGGGTCCATGGGGCAAGGAGGGACCCAGAAGCTGGAAGACCTGAGGATCTCTCCTCCTGGAATCTGTTCTCACTATATTGTAGTTGGAACTGGGGACCCGGAAGGCTAAAAGGCCTGCACCAAGCTCACCAGAACCACGTTGCTCCTGTGGAGACAAGAGCCCTCAGCTCATTTTCAAGAGTCTGAAGGGAGTTCAAGGGCAAGGAGGATCTGGGCATCAGTAGGTTCTCATGCGATATCTTGGGCAGGGCCGTGACATTAGGCCCAAACCCTTTGCTCTAACTGGCCACAGGGAAATAGATGTTGATGCCCCCTCATCCCGCAGTGGTGATCCTGCTGATCAAGAGGATGAGTCCCTTATGCCCTGCAGTACGAGGCTCCCTTCCGAGACTGCTCTTGTGTTTTGTGAGAAGCCTCACCCCTCTTGCCTTTACCTTGCCCCTCAGAGGTGCCTTTCCTGGCAGAATAGTTCCAGTGGTATGCGTTCTCACAGCCTGGTGAATTGCTGGTTGTGCCCACACATTTCCTCATGGGACCGGTAGTCATGAGACATTGATATTTGGTTTTATAAACTGACTTAGACCTGGGAAGCTCTCTAATCACAGCTGGGAAGGGATGGGATGTTACTTTGTATCGCCCCACCTGCCGTTCCCCACGGGGCATGAAGACTGTAGGATAGGGGGCTAGAGAGGGCCCCGTCCTTGCTTACAGTTCTGTAGCAGCTTACAGTAGGTTGTCCACAGTTCACAGCCCCGGTGTTGGGTTCCAAACACTTTCTAATTGGATTTGAGATTTTCTGAGGAGGTCTACTGCTTGTTAAGGGAAATTGCTTTGGGTAAACAATATGGTGTGGTGATGTTCATCCCTACAAGGATCTATGTGTGTGATTTCAGGACTGCTAAAAGTCAAAGGCAAATTAGTCGGAGTCCTCAGACCCCTGTGGGATAGCTCTACTCATTTCAACCCTTTCTTGCCATGCTGGTCACAGTACACGGTAACCAGTTCACCCCCAGACACTAGGTCTCATTTTAAATAAGCCGAGTCTCTACCACCTCCACTTCCTGTCTTCAGTCCTCTACATCCTGGTTTGTGAAATCTCCAGATTTATTTCCTGTCTGTGGCCGTTGTGGCCTAGGGAGTCTGAGCTAGTGGGATACCTGGTAAGCCTGGAGGAAGGGGAGGGACTGTGGCTGGGATTGGGCCCCCAGCATCACACAGCTTTCCAGAAGCAACAAGAAGGAGCCGGCCCACGGAGCCCATCTGTCCTTCTCTAGACTGTCTTCTCTGGGGCTGCAGGGTTGGAGCAGCTGGCTCCTCAGGTCCCTTGGATTGGAAAGAAAACTGTTTGGTTGGTGGTCCTCCTCATTATTCGGTCCTGGGCTATGGAAAAGAGCAGCTCTGGTATCTGGCAATCACCCCCTTCTTGTCACTCCTTCCTGGGTCTCTGTGGGCAGAGATCCTGCACCCCTGTATGTCACACTCAGACTCCCAAGGCAAAACCCAGACAAGCGAAAGGAAAAACTAATAATTATTTCAATCAATGCAGAGAAGGAATTCGCCAAAATTCAATACCATTTTTAATAAAATGTGTAAAAAGAACAAAATCAAATGATCTCATTATGATAAAAGCCATAAGTAAACATTCCACAATTGACATGGTGCGTGGTGGTGGACGGAGATGGACACTGATGCCACTCCATTCAGCAGAGCGCTAAAAATTTTAGCAAGAGAGGCTGGGAATGAATGAATGAGTGAGTGAATGAATGCCGTCTAAGTAGAAAGAGACAGAATGGTCTCTGAGGTTCACAGGTGACGTGGTGTTAACTAGAAACCCTGAAGATTACACATAAGCATGTGTGTGTGTGTGTGTATGTATGTATGTATGCATGTGTATGTGTGTGCATGTGTGTGTTGTTACAGCAAAGTAACAGTGTAAAACCCAACATCTGGAAATCCAGGTGAAATTTTAAATGAAAAAGAAGAACACAGTTGGAGATTCACACTTCTTAACCTCAGATTTTCTTCAGAGATTAAAAAAATAAAATCAAAACACGTCTGTAGTATTGTTACTCTGAGACCAATGGAATAAACTGGAACCCAGAAGTTGACACTAATATATTTGGTCAAATGGTTTTTGACACAGATGCTAATACGGGAGAATTGGGGCAGCCACATGCAAAAGGGTGAAATCAGAGCCCCTGTGACAGTATATATAAAATGCAAAATAAGCTTTGTAAGCAGAGAGTACTGGAGATGAACCACAGGGATAGCCGTAGACCAGTGTGAATGTGTTTCATGCTACACTTTAAAATGTCCATCTTGCTTATCACATGTTCTCCCAGTATCTGTTGTAAGCTCCTCAGGCTGGGATCGGGTACACACCTTCCCCGTATTCACTGTCTGGTCCCCATGCAGGATATCTGTGAGTCTGTGAATACAGGACTGAGAGACTGGTACATCATAGCATAATTCTTTGCCAGTGACTTAGTGCTGAAGTCATGTTAACAAATACTGACGGTACTTTATTTTTTTCTGAAAATTCTTTACCTTCTCAACAACACAAAGCTTAGGGAAAGACTGAAATGAGAACAAAGCTGGACCTAGTCATATACTTTATCCTGAATTTCATAGTTTTTATTTTTTATCTTTTCATGCAGTGTATTTTGGTCAAATTTTCCCCTCCCCTCTTCCTGCCAGATCCAGGTCCTCTCATCTCCTAACTTTATGTTCTTTATTTTTCTCACTTTTAAAACAAACGAAAACAAGAAACAAAAATAAAATACAAAAATCAGAAAACACGGAAATGAAAATCAAAACAAATAACAAGACCACCAAGATCAAAAGAAAGATGTCAAAACAAAGCAAAATAAAACATGAAGTGCATAAAAATACCGTGAGTACATTTCATATTGGCCCACTATTCCAGGCCTGACCTGGAGTGTGGTTTGTATACCCAGTGAGACTCTAATGAAGAAAACAGATT